CTTTCTGTTGCTAGACAGGCACTCTACCACAATCTAGCTTTAAGTAGACTCTCTTTTCCAATTAGTGCAAGCCATGACCAATGTACTTCAGGCTTACCATGCTAAGTGAGAACACAGACAGCTGTCATTTTGTCCAGCTTTTCTTTATGAACATGGAGACTCAGATTTTTCAACCTAGCCTGGCCTAGAAATGCAATCATCCCAATCTCAGCCTCCTGAACCCAATTAAGGATGATTGACACTTACCACTGTACCTAGCTATGGGGCTGAGAAAGAGTTCTGCAAATTTTCCTCCCAGAATTTCTTTAAACCACTATCCTAAAATCTCAAATTCCCATTTAGTTTTGGTTATACTTGTGAATCATCAACATCTGGCTGGGCTTGTATTTTTCTGAGTATAAAAGTCTGTATAAAGATTTCAGCTCCTCAAATTAATAATAAAAATATTGACATTATAAAATCTTATTGTAAAAAAAATCTTATTGTGTCTCAGGTTTTGAATACTATGTAGAAAATGAATATTAAGCATGTGAAAGTTGTGCGGACATGTAAGTAACATGTTTCTCTGCTTTTTTTAAAAAACTAAAGAATCAACAAGAGAATGCATGAGTGCCAACTGTTATATCAAGCATTCCTGAAATCCTTTATTTTGCATAAATTTTCCTTCAAGATAATGATCTACAGTCATGTACTTCATTGTGTTTCTTTTCCTACTAATTAAGGATTTCAATTATTCTTTTTTTGTGTGTGGGGGGGGGGGGTTCCGGTCATGGGGCCTGAACTCTGGGCCTGGGTGCTGTCCCTCAGCTCTTCAGCTGAAGGCTAGCGCTTTACCACTTGAGCCACAGCACCACTTCCGGCTTTTTTCTTTTTGCTTGTGTGGTGCTGAGGAATTGATCCCAGGGCCTCAGGCATGCAAGGCAAGCGCTCTACCACTGAGCCACCTTCCCAGCCCTTCAATTATTCTTTTATTGGAGAATATTTTCCATCTTCTGTGACATGCTGCTATATAAATTTTTGTGAAATTAATATGACTCATTGTGATTCATTTATATTTTTACCAGTTATTATTTCAAGACTTTTCCATTAGCACTAAGTAAATATCAGTGACGTCTTTAAGTTACTTATTCACTATTTAGTTCTGTACTGACGTTTTTTTCTTGAACTTCTTGCATCCATTTTGTAGTTTTTATTTCAATCTCATTCTGTTGTTTAAATCTGTGAGCTTTCAGAAGCATCTCAAGATTAACAATCTCATTAAATTATTCTAAAAATATAAAATTAACATAACACATTGGGAATTTTCTGTTTCTTTAGTTATGACTGTTTCTTTGTTTATTGTGTTTAAATTGTTTTATAAAGAGGTTTCAAATCAACACTTCATTTGTGAGAAAAATTATCCTTGACACTGTCTTCCCATCTATCTTCCTTCATCTTTCCCAGCCCTACTATTCCGTGAAGTTACCTGGTTTCATTTGGATATGCGCATTGAGGGTTATGACTATTTTCCCTAACACATATTAATCTCTCCATTCATCAACTTCCTCTTCCCAGTAAACCTCCGTCATATCTTAACCATACTTTCCAGCCTCCTGGCATTTGTTTTTTTAACTCATTTTTCGTTCAAAAAAGTTTCTTCATTGAAATCTTCTTTTGTACGTATTGTCGATTTATGCGTACCTGCATATTACGCCATACATTTTCACATGGTTATAATATAGATCTAACAGCTTTTTTAACTTAAATTTTTATTATGTTTTTAACTCTTTTTAAATTTTATTTTGTGTCATTGTAAAGGTGATCTAAAAGGGGTAACAGTTACATAAGTAAAATAATGAATATATATTTCTTGTCAAACATTGTTACCTCCTTCCTCATTTTCTCTCACTCTGCCCCCTAACTCCTCGGCCCCCTGCAAATTGTAAAGTTCATTTCCAACATAGTGTCTTGTGAGTACCGCTGTTGAATTGGTTCATCCTTTCCTTTTTCTCACCATTTGGTTATTCCCCTTCCCTTCCCCAAATCAGATAAATGTAAATAAAAGATACAGGGTACAAAAACCAAAACAATGACAACAGGGTACAAACCAAAGGGAGGGGGTGGAGAAATAACTTCACACAGTAGCTTAAATACAAAACAAAAACAACAAAAATTAAATAAAAACCCTCTTGTTTCCATGTCTTGGGGTTCAGTTAGATTAGCAACATTTTATATGGTAATATACATCTATTGAGCTGTTGTGATTCTATCCTAGAACTATTCTAGACATATACTAATTATTACAAATGAGGAAAGCCATGGGGCCTAAGTTTCATTGGATCAGGCTTACTTCACTTAATATGATTTTTCCAAATCTTTCCATTTCTTTATGAATAGGGCGATGTCACTCTGATGGAAGCATAGAACTCCATTGTGTATATATACCACATTTTTGTGATCCATTCATCTACCTAGGGACATATAGGCTGGTTCCATATTTTAGCTATGGTAAATAATGATGTAATGAACATAGTTGTGCTGGTAGCTTTAGTTTGGCCTTTTTTAGTGTGGTTATTTGGGTAAATGCCCAGGAGTAGGGTTGCTGGATCATAGTGGAGCTCTATGTTTAGTCTTAAGAGGAAACTCCATACTGCTTTCCAGAGTGGTTGAACCAGCATACATTCTCACCAACAGTGTAGTAACATTCCCTTTTGGCCACATCCCTAGCAGTATCTGTTATTATTATAATTTTTTTTAATTTTGATAATGGCCATTCTAACTGGAGTGAGATAGAATCCCGATGTACTTTTAATTTGCATTTCTTTTATGGCCAACGATAATGAACATGTGCCTATTGACTATTCTTATTTCCTGCCCAGATAAGTCTCTTTTTAATTATTTAGCCCACTTATTAATGGGGTGGTTGTTTCTTTGAGGATTTGTTATTGGAAGGCTTAAACTTTTGAGCTGTAAGTCTATTTTTTATATGAAGCCCTCATTTGTTGTATAGCTAGTGAAGATCTTTTCCAACTTTATGGGCTTTCTATTTAACTTTGATAGCTAAGCTCTTTGCCATGCAGAAGCTCTGCGATTTAATTCAATCCCATTCATCCGACTTTTCTTTAATTTATTGTGTTTCTGGATCTTTATTTAGAAAGTTTCTACCTGTGTCAAGGAGCCCTAGCCTATCACTTATCCCTTCCTTCCTCAAGGAATCTGCTATGACTTCTGGGTCTTTGATACATTTGAAGTTGATTTGGGTGCAAGGTGATATATAAGGATCTAACTTCAGTTTTCTGTATGTGTATAGTTAATTCTTTAATTTATTTGGGCATCTTGTATTTCTCCTATGTCCACTGTTCAGTCTCTTGGAGCCTTTAATAGGGAGAAATACAGGGACTGGCTTTTTTAATGTTACCTTTGACATGCCAATGCATGGCTGGTATGTCCCTCAATCTTCTCTTCCTCTGAATGTAATTTCATAAGTGTCATGGTATGATGTTAAGTACATTTTGTATTTGTATCTAATAATTGCTAGAAATATTTTTCTTTTTTGATTTACTTGAAATATTTGAGAACAAACAATAAAAGTAATAAAGGTTTAAAACCTCTTAATTAATTAAATGACTTACCTAAATTATTTATATTCAGGATCCTTTTGTTCATAACTTCATGTAATGTGGATTTCATTAAGATGTAATACATTTTAGCCCCATTTTCATGCATCTTATAGAGTGTAATGTTTTAATATAGTTTCAGTACATGATTATTGAGCAGATAATTATAAATTCAGTGTTTAAAGCCAAAGATGTTGAACAAAAGTTTGATACATAGTTTTGAACTTTATTTAAAACAAACTCCCAATATATAGTAGAGACTTAAAACCTCTAAAACTGAAACATTTATTATTTTCTGTCCCCATTTGTAGTCTAAAAGCTGACAGAATGAAAACTATTTTATTTGAAATTGACTTTTTTAGATTCAGGACAACAATCAAATAAATGAGCAAAGAAGCTTTAGAAGCCAAATGTGGCCTAGATTTTCTCTTTTAAGAAACCTTTCTTTTTTGTTCCTTTCCCTTTTTTTGACCTGACTTAAAACTCACAGCTTCTTCATCCAGAATAGATAATATAAAATAGCATGAAGCAGACATTTACTTATACAACAGCTTTTCACAAGTCACGATTAACCTCCACTGCAGATTTTGTTTCTAAGTCATACCCTTTCCTTCCTGTGTCCAAAGTGAACAATGCTGAATTGCTATACACTGATGGCTTAAAAATCTGTGGTATTTCAAAATAAGTATCAGCTGGCCTGATTTTTCAAGACAGATAACATTCAGACAGGTTATATTCTAGGAGCATATACAAAGTCATGGTGTTTATACCAGTAAGTAAGGTAGTGAGTACCTTTCTTGCTGAACTTTTTACTCCCTCTCATTTTTTCTCCCTCTTTGCCCCTCCATCCCCCACCCCTCACAAAGTTGTACAGATCATTTCCAACATAGTGACTTGAGAGTATCACTGTTGCTTTGGTTCCCCTTTTGCTCTTTGTCTCACCATTGTTTTGGTCTCCTTCCCTTCCCTAATTCAGATAACCATACATACAAGTTCTTTTATTTGCATCTTATCCTGTCACCAGAAACAACTTGAACAAATTAAGCCATTCTGTAAAACCTATTGTGCTCACTCTCTGTTTTAGATAGTTGGTCACTTAACAACTAATAGATAAATGATGTGGTTCATGATTGCTGAAAGGTAAAGCATAGGACTAGGATTCCATGAGTCTTCATATTTAGTGTGGTGTCAAGAAACTATTAAAAACAGTGGCTGACCCAGAGAGATATTTGAAATGGAATCACATTTTGACAGCAGACACATGAGGAAAATATAGCTGTGAAACTCAAAGTGCTGGAATGTAATGCAGACATTTGAAACTTAGGATGTGAAGATCCAAACAATGTTCTTTATTTTAATATTGTAGCACAACTTCAATTTCATGATGACTATCATTGTTTTCAGAGCTGGCACGTATGGAACATATGTAATGCAGCAGATACGGCTTCAAGAACTGGAAGAGACAGATCCTGATCAAAACCCTATGTGTTCAATGTAATCATGATTCCTGCTTTACAGATGAAGAAGCCGAATCAGAGTAAAGATAAAGGACTTCTCTAGAGTCAAGAGATTATTAGTTATAGAGCCTCCTTTATATGCCTTATGGCCTCCAAGATAAAACAGAACTCCTATATTTTAACAATTTGAGACACTTCTCTTCAGAAATTATTGGCACTTTGGGCCTGGCTTACTTCACTTAATATTTTTTCCAAGTCTTTCCATTTCCTAACAAATGGGGAAATGTCATTTTTTCTGATGGAGGCATAGAATTCCATTGTGTATATATACCACATTTTCTTGATCCATTCAACTACTGAAGGGCATCTGGGTTGGTTCCATATCTTAGCTATAGTAAATAATGCTGCAATAAACATAGTCGTGCTGGTAGCTTTAGTGTGGTCTTGTTTGTAAACATTTGGGTAAATGCCCAAAAGTGGGATGCTGGGTCACAGAGGAGCTCTATGTGGAGTCTTTTGAGGAACCTCCTTACTACTTTCCAAAGTGGTTGAACAAGTTTACACTCCCACCAACAGTACAATGAGGTTCCCTTCTGTCCACATCCCCTACAGCACTGTTGTTATTAGAGTTCTTGATTTTAGCCATTCTAACTGGAATGAGGTGGTTTCTCAATGTTGTTTTGATTTGAATTTTGTTTATGGCTATGGAGGTTGAGCATTTCTTCATGTGTCTATTGGCCATCCTTCTTTCCTCTTCAGAGAAGTTTCTCTTTAAGTCTTTAACCCATGGTTTCCCTTATTTGCAATATCTAGTACATATCTGAGTCAAGTAGAAAAGGACAAATAAGGTGATGTTAGGGAAATGAACCCTAAGATATATATTCAAATGTTTTTTTTTTCATGCGATTGTTTCTAACACATTTATAAGATTATTTCTTTGTTGCTTTGTATGTTCCTCCCCCAGAGTATAACCTCTGCTTTCACTGTATTTGATGTCGGTATAATTTGTGGAGGGGAAGGGGAAAAACAACTCGTTTAACAGGGATACAGGTGGACCCATTGCAACAATGAGATGTACAAGTTGTTATGTCGAAAACGAACTTTACAACTTTGGTGCAGGAGAGTGGGAGGATTGGGTGGGGGGGGGGGGTGGGAGGAGGATGGGAAGGGATGGGAAGGGGAAACAAAGGAGGAGGCTACAATGCTTGATAAGAAATGTACTCATTATCTTGCCCATGTAATTGTAACTCCTTTGTACGGTATTTTCACAATAAAAAAAAGAAATGCAAAAAAATAGAGAAAGAAAAAGAAAAAAGAAATTATTGGCACTGTGGTGTTTTTTTCTTTTTGTCAACACAGAGGCTTGAACTCAGGGCCTGACATCTGTCCTGTGGCTTATTTGCTTAAGGCTGTTTGTTAATAAGTTTTTTTTAATTGTAAAAATACTGCCCAGAGGGGTTACAGTTATATGAGCAAGGTAATGAGTACATTTCCTAACAAGCATTTTTGCCTCCTCCTTTGTTTTCCCCCACCATCCTTTCCTTCCCACCTCCACAACTACACTCCCACCTATCCAGCTCTCCCACATAAATTGTAAAGTTTGTTTTTCAACAGTGTCTTGCACATCTCATTGTTACTATGGATCAACCTGTATCCCTACTTAAACATTTTGTTTTTGCCCTTCCCCTCCCCAAATTATACCAACATCAAATACAGTGAAAACAGGGGTTATACTGTATGGGAGGAACATACAAAGCAAAAAAAAAAATAACATGGTACATTATAAATACGTTAGGAACAATAGCAAAAAAGAAAATACTGCTTGTATCCATATCTTGGTGTTAATTTCACATAACATCTCTATCTGGCCATTAGTACATAGCTTTTAACCTTTTCTGCTTGTCCCAGACATATACTAGTTATTGTAAATAAGGGAAACCATGGAACCTGTGTTTCTTTGGGCTTGGCTTACTTCACATAATATAATTTTTCCCATGTCTTTCCATTTCCTAACAATTGGAGCAATGCCATTTTTTCTGATGGAGGCATAGAATTCCATTGTCTGTGTACACATACATACATACATATATATATATATAAATATATATATATATATAAATATATATATATATATATATATATATATATATATATAATTTTCTTATCCATTCATCTACTGAAGGGCATCTGGGTTGGTTCCATATCTTTTTTGAGCAACAGCTATACTTCCAGCTTCTCTACTGGTTAATTGGAGATATGTGAATTTTCCTGCACAGTATAGCTTCAAACTGTGATCCTCAGATTTCAATCCCCTAAGTATCTATGATTACAGGCATTTTTTAGTACCTTGGTTCTCAAAGTACTGTTAAAATGAAAATCTTAATAAAAAGGAGCTAATACAAGTATTTAATTCATGTGAAGTTGCACTATTTCAGACTAGTAGTGTCTGAACTCTGTTGTACAGACATATAACTTTTAGAGTATATATTATGTTATTAAATTATTTTTAACAGACTTTTGTCATTCCTCTGTAATGCAATGTGTTTTTAACAATGTGCACCAGACTGGTTGACAAAATTAATTGGTCTTTGTGTCTACATAGAGTATATAGATCATAAACAAATTGCTTCAAAAATTTTGGGAATACATAAATACATGTAGTAAATAATCAAATAACTGACTTATTTTAGAAATATCAAAATCTATACTGTTGTCTTTCAGGACAGAAATTTCCTATATTTTAATTATCCAGCTCAAATAAGAAACAATTTGGAATATTCCTTGATAATTTGTTGGGAAAAATGATTATTTCCTTAATTTTCATGTCAGTTGACCCAATGAAAAGGCAACTGACTTTCTGTATTACTAAGTAGGTTTTGTTCTTGAATAAATTTTGCACATTTTTGTGAAGAAATTGGTAAAACCATGCATTATGTAATTCTCTTTTTGCTCTGTCAGACTTTCAACCTTAAATCTTGTTTTTAAAAAAACTTATGAACATAAAACTCAATGGTATTTGTTTAGCTTCACTACTTCTCTACCTATGTATTTATTTTTTCTCTTAATAATAATAACTTCACAAGAGAGAAGGGACAGTGTGGGTATCTGTATTGAGACATTCTGTTATGTAATCTTAAAATAAACCTGAGATATCTGTATTACACACTATATTCCTCAAAATACAAAGAATACCCCAAGATTAAAAAGTAATTTGGAGCATGAATCATAAAAGAAAGAAAATAATTGACTATTATATTTGTAAATGTGTGAAAATATTCAGTGTCTCCTATATGTGAAGAAAATGAAGTAAACAATATAATTGCATAATTATATTATACTATAGTATTATATAGTATAATAAAAAGTATAATTTGATATAGAGATTTCACTAATAGTTAAAATGAACAATAAGACAAGAAGAGACACTGGTGTGAATTAATGTGGACATAGAAAATGTACATGATAATCATATGTCAATTCAAACACGTATTTCTTGAAGTGTAAGTGTCTGGTTAAAGGTACTTCTTTTATACCTAGTTACGGATTTATGATGAAGAAGAACAGGCATAATGCTATTGTATGTCTCATTAGCAGAGAGAACAGATGTAATTTTTTCATAAGATGGATTGAATTCATATTTATTAGGTATTTATATTTCTTAAAGAGGAGAAATTTAAATCTCACAAAAGTGAAGGTCTTACTTCTAGCTTTCTTCTTCCTGTGCTATTATATGAAATAACAAAAGGAGGGATATTTAGTATTAATATTCCTCCAGCACTGTTCCTTCTGTTAAGGATCGTTTTTGCTATTCAGGGTCTTTTATTGTTTCATATGAATTTTTGGATTGTCTCTTCTATTTCCTTGAAGAATGAGGTTGGAATATTGATAGGTATCGCATTGAATTTGTAGATAGCCTTGGGAAGTATTGCCATTTTCACCATGTTAATCTTTCCAATCCAGGAACATGGGAGTTTTTGCCACTTTCTAAGTTCTGTTTTGATTTCCTTTTTCAAGTTTTTAAAGTTTTCATCATAGAGGTCCTTCACTTCTTTGGTTAAGTTAATTCCTAGGTAGTTTATTTTTTGTGGGGCTATTATGAATAGAGTTGCTTTCCTAATTTCAACCACACTTTTTTCATTGTTGGCATACAAAAAAGCCATTGATTTTTGAGGGCTAATTTTATACCTTGCTACTTTGCCAAAGTTTTGAATCACCTTGAGTAATTTGGGAGCAGAGTCCATGGGATTCTTTAAATTCAAGATCATGTCATCTACAAAGAGGGAGAGTTTTACTTCTTCTTTCCCTATTTGGATCCCCTTTATGTTTGCATCTTGTCTTATTGCTGTAGCTAGGCATTCTAATACTACACTGAAGAACAGTGGGGAGAGTGGACATCCTTGTCTCGTTCCTGAGTTTAGCAGATGAATGGATCAAGAAAATGTGGTATATATACACAATGGAATGCTATGCCTCCATCAGAAAGAATGGCATTTCCCCATTTGTTAGGAAGTGGAAAGACTTGGAAAAAAATATATTAAGTGAAGTAAGCCAGGCCCAAAGAAACATAGGTCCCATGGTTTCCCTTATTTGTAATAACTAGTATATGTCTGAGTCAAGCAGAAAAGGTCAGGTAAGTTGATGTTTGGGGAATGAACCCCAAGATAAGTATTCAAATGTTTTTTTTCTTTCATGCAACTGTTTCTAACATATTTCTAAGATGATTTCTATGTTGCTTTGTATGTCCTTTCCCTACGGTATAACCCCTGCTTTCACTGTATTTGATGTTGGTATAATTTGTGGAGGGGCCAGGCAAAAACAAATCGTTTAATTAGTGATACAGGTGGACCCATTGCAACAATGAGATGTACAAGTCCTTATGCCAAAAAACGAACTTTACAACTTTGGTGGGGGGGGGGGTAGGGAGGATCGGGTGGGGGGAAGTAGGGGAAGTATGGTGGGGGAAGTATGGAAAAGGATGGGAAGGGGAAACAAAGAGGAGTCAACAATGCTTGATAAGAAATGTACTCCTAATCGTGCCCATGTAATTGTAATTCCTCTGTATGTTAGTCTAACAATAAAAAAAAAAAGAAAAGGAAGTATAGACATTTGGGTAGAAGAGGAAAATGATTGATTTTCTCAAGTTTATGTATTTCATATGCACATATGTGTGGGAACAGACACTTTTCTAGAACCTGGACACTTGAGATGGACCTAATAGGAGCTTCTAATTGTAATAGGAGCTGCCTTTGTTCCCCCAAGTTAAAGACACCCAAAATGTTCATAGAGTGTG